CCGCCGCATCTGGAGGCCAGGGTTTGCCCAACCTCGGAGGGTTTGGTCAGATGTTCGAACTGCGGCTTCCTCTCTGGCGCCGGGCTGTCCGGGTCTCTGCCCTCGGAGCGCGCTCTTCAATACGCCTCTCTTCAATCTCTTGCAGGTGTTCCACTGATGGCTTTTTTTTTTTTTTGCACAAGAAAACGTCTACAGGATTTTTTTTTTGAGGTGCTGAATTTATTTTTCAGCTGTTCTCTGGAGGGGAAAGTCCACATCTAACTAAATGGACCTTTTAAAAATTAATACAGAAGAAAAAAAAGCAAGATTGATCCTTATCCCCACCCCATTCTTCAACTTGGACTGAACCTAGTTATTTATGAAGAGACTCGCAAATACCCTTTCCCTAGTTGGAAGGCTTCCTTTATATACTATTCCCAACGTGGGGAGCGAAACAAAAAAATCTCACAAGGAGTTGCCCATTTTAAAGCAGACTTTGCCTTTTTTTTCCAAAGGTGGAGCGTGAGTACCAGAAGGATCCAGTGTTCAGTTTTTTAGGGAAGTCTGTGGTCAGAAATTACCTTTTTGACACCAACCTAGGACTGAATACTGTGTGTATATATTTATATATAAATATATATGAGTGAAACCTTGTGAACTCTTTAATTAGAGTTTTCTTGTATAGTGGCAGAAATTTACATTTCTGCAAAAAGTGTAATGATGTACTTAATCATGCTAAACTTTTTATAAAAGTTTAGTTGTAAACTTAACCCTTTTTATACAAAATAAATCAAGTGTGTTTATTGAACCGATTGCTTGCTTTATTCTTTGGGGACCAACTGTTTGCTGGCTTAGAGTTGTGTTGTGTTGTTTTTTTTTAATAAGTACACGTTCTGTTAAGACTTTACCAAGTAAAAATTATGTGGAGAATATAAAGAATAAAATTACCTGAAGTGAATAATAATTATTGTAACTTTGAAAATCTTCTTTGAGTGCATATTGCAAACCTCAAGTAGTCTGCCTGTAAAGAGTGTGAAAGGAACTAGAAAAGGAATTTATTAGAGGGGATGCTATTGACCAAGTGTTTGGAAACATACAAAAGCAGTTAAGCCTGAGACATACCCGGGGAGAGCACTGCCTCCCCCCCCCCATATGGATGACTCAGTTCTCAGTAGTAATGGCCCAGATCTGTTAATTTGTGTTTAGAATAATCACTCAGAATTAAGGGTTGTGGGTGGTTATTAGTCCCTTAACTATTAAATTTCTCTAAAAGGCTTTGAATGTGAGAGTTGGTGATGCGTTAACACGGGATCTAGAATGATGAAGTGACTGTTGCCTTTCCACACTGGGATTTTCCTGCTTCCATGCAATATTTCAATGAAATGAGGTTTGTAATCAGTTGCAGCAGCTTCTGCATATGACTAAGATACTGAGAATTGAGCTAAATCGCTGTTGTGTTACTGATTAAACTTTGGCTGCTCCTAAAGGGACTCTCTTTTTCCATAAGAATTAAATTAAGTTTGAAACAGGAGATTAAATTCCTGAAAGCCAGTAACAGTTTACTTCTGTCTTGCCCTCAGAAGCTATGTACTATCTTTTACTCACTCAAGGGACACTTACTGTGTCCGTGGGGCTGCTGTGACTCTCACTGTTCGTTAGATCTGCTCAGTTGTCCTAAGACAGTGGACACGGGAACTGTGCCTTATCAGATGCCGTTCAGATTTACGGTCCCTTGTAAACTTGCCCAACAGGGGAAGTTTGGTTTTGAGCCCTGCATAGGAATTGAAGAGAATCACTCGCAGCAGGCATGAAGGAAACTTCGCTGACGCTTCGGGTAAGCCCAGTGCTCCAGCAGGCTGGGCGCGTTGGGCCTGAGGGAGGGAGGTCACGGTTTCCGTGCTGTGGGGACTCAGAGAGGGAAAGATGGGAGCCTCACCTGGGGCCGCTGTCACCAGCAGGCAGGCGCGTGGGTGGGAGCAGCCCCCTTGCCATGCCCTTGGCCCCCAACCCGCAGGCTGGGGGGAAGCCAGCACCGACCCCCTCATGAGCAGCCCCATGCCCATCCTGGCCAGCGGTGCCAGACCTCGTTACTGTCGTGACAGACAGAGCGCGTGGTTTGTCCCAGCTTCGCCCTGGCAGCGAAACGTCCCCTTGCTGCGAGCCAGCCCGAAACGCTCCTCTCCACGTGTATTGTACCCAGCTCCGACCTTCAGCAGAGCGGGGGCTTAGGCACAGTGTCGAGGTCTTCATCCCCTCCACAGCAGTAACAATCCGGCACAATGGCCACCCCCTTCCTCCCTCAAAACTCACTTCTCACCCTATTGTTCGTCTTAGGGTGAGACCCCCGCGAGCATCACTTTAAACCCACAGTTCAGTTTATGAAATTAAAAGAGCTACAACAGATCACTGTAATTGTTTTAAGATAACCCCTTCAGAAACTAAGGCATTTGCACTTCGATATTTTCAAGCTGCAGGATGATGAACGCACTTGTAGAATGAAACCCATTTCCTTATCACGCGTAGCCAAAAGAGAAATTCACAATTTACAAGGCGTGGGGAGCTGAGCAGGAAAACAAACAAACATGTTTTTAAAAATGTAAATTAAGAAAGGGAAAAAATTTTCCTCTTTCAGGATTAACTAATTCATCGTCTCGACGATGCATTCCTATGATCAGAGCTGGGGGCTAGAGCTGGGTGCTCTGCTTACTCACAGATTCACTTTTCGGTTCTGTTCTTAAGGTTTTGTCGTTCAAAGACAAAACAGCAAGGTCAAAGGCGAGTGCCCAAAGCCTTCACATTAATTCTCGAAGATGTGGGATTTCTTTATTCTACAGCACTGTCGTTATCCCCCCAGAATACATCAGGAAAAAAACCACATCTGTGACGTTTTGACCCCTTTCCCTGGCCCACGGCCGCTGTCCCTGGCCACCGCTGCTGCCCACGCTCCGCTGCCCGGCAGCAGGATGGTGCTGGCAGCAACCGTACCCAAACACTGTAAAACCTCTTCGGGTAGGCCACGCGTGAAAGTCGCGAATGCACCCATAGACACTTGCCCACTGGGGGGCCCAACAAGAGACCGAAGAGGACCCTCCCCGCTCGCAGAGGCTCCCGGACGCGGCTCCGCGCGGGTACTGCCCCGACACCAGACCGCTCCCGACCTCGCCC